GTCGAAATCGATGATAGTAGTAGAAGCACCAACACGTACTTGACAACTGTTCGGCCGAAGGAGGCGAGCAGTGGTGGCATTGGAGGCTTCCGAACGACCAATGGGAAGAGGACGTGACCACATAGGAACTCTACTGGTACGAAAAGGTAGTCCAAAGAGCCTGAGATAGGGGTGCCATGATTCTTCCCTGTGCGCAAACGTATCTTTGCCCGCATACCAGAAGTGGCCATTGTGGATATCGCTGCCTCAGCGTGCGCTTGAGAATTCTCCGTCACGACTAAGCGAGTTTGCAGTGGTAGATACCGATGCTGTAATGCTAAGGCCGGCAGTACACAGACGAAAACCTAGTAAAGGATGATCATAGCGATAGACCACAGCGATTTTACACTAGACTCACCAGTGCTAGTTTATAGACGATATAAAGCAGGGAATAATACAAGGCTGGCACTATCCCCTTATTCCGAACAAGCCTCTGGTCGCCGCCTTGTGCTTCTCCCTCTGGTCGGCCGATGATATGGCCAAAACACGCAACCATCGCCGGAGACTCTCTCATCGCCTCCTTAGCCTGCTCACGAGGATTAACGCAGAGTAGTTTGATACTACCCAATTCACCTGCGGTTTGAGACACGACAAGACCCCTTGTTCCGCCGCCTGAGTGATCGATATCACCAGATGACCGATAAGCATAACTAATATGGTCCCAACAGCTACTGGGAGCTGGCTTAGAGCTAGGGACATCAGACTACGTTCATTGGTCGGTTGGAAGGGGTGCGTACCTAGAAGATATTTCGCGCGCCACGAAATTCCACGGGCCTACCCGCCGACTCAAGAGCGAGGAGTACTACGCAGCCGATCATCAACGATGGGAGGAAACCACCGGTGATAATCACAACACAATACTTCAACGCAGTCGCCAGTACCGATAGAACCTGACCGCGCGCCACGAAATTAGACTCAGAGCGCATCTAAAGAGATCCTACTTTCCCGAACAAGCTCATGCCACCCCGCGTCGACCAGAGATGATATATAGCCGCTACTTGGGTGCAGAGGAGACCACCGAGAGAAAGGCAGATGAGGTCCCATGGGAACTACAAGGCAAACACAATAATACTCCATTACTTTCTACCATAGCAGCTTACATCGTCAACTAACGGGCGGGGATACACTTGCTGGCTAGCCGTCTCCACATGTTGCTGCATACGCTGTATGAATACTAGATAGGGGTCCTCCTGAAATGAACGAGGTAACGGGAAGAGGAGGACGGCCGCCGAAACAATCACCGGTATAGTTGGTTGCAGCAGTGTAGGGGCCAGAGGGCACTGTGCCAAGTTCTCGATGTTGTCCATGCCTGCAATCACTGTGGTGGTGTGGGAGAGTGTCGTCGCCAATAGAGC